TTCTTTTTTTTTTTTTTTTTTTTTTTTTTTTAGCAAGTGAGTTGCAGGATAATAACTTATTTTCTTAATAAGCATTTATATGGAACTTTTTTAGCAAAGTATCTCAGCACTCGACAGATGCAGATGAATTTTCATAGGGCGGGAAGAATACCAGTGCCTTTCATTAGTGGTAAACTAAGGTATATTAAGTTAAACCAAATTGTTAATACAGGAGACCTGAGACTAGGATGCTAATTTCTGATCATGTTTCAATCACATTATATACAAGTTAATGCAAATATAATATAAATAAAATTTGCCACTTCTTGTGATCTTTTGCAAAAAAATAAGTGAATGAGAGGACACCTAGACTGTGTGTTTAGACACAAGATCTGATTCTTACATATTTAGATGTGGTACAAATGACCTATCAGAAGAAGACTCACTGTTGCTATATCTGCTGTAGCCAGGCCCGATATTTTCATTGTCACTAGGGCTATTTTAGGGGAAGGGAGATGAAGTAATTAAATGTCCCATATCAATTCCACTAACACTAGCACGGGGAGAATTATTTGATAAATGAATTGGAGAATGATATGGGTTTCTTAACAACAGCTGTCTGTTTCATGATGCATTGATAGAAAACCTTTCTCAAATACATCATCAGTTGGAAGTAGTATATGTTTATGATATTCCAGAGCTCAATTCTATAACACAGAATGCTGTACCATCAGGGTATTTTTTTTTGTTACTGAATGACAGCGACAGTATTGTTCTTTTCCCAGATATGCTCAGACTGCCAGCATAATGTTGTTATACGTTGTTCAGATAAGGCTAGTTTCTTCCTCAAGACAAAAAGCATACAGAGCCCTAAGCAAGTAGTAAAAAAAAAAAAATAAAGAACCTTAAAACAAGTCTTGAATATTCAGTACTTGAGAATGAAGAACACAAAATTGTTAGTCCTAGTATCTACTGTTGTCTAGATTTCTCATCTATTTCATTCAAAACACATTTAACCAGACTTTTTTCTCAGAAGTTCTCTTTGCATTCTCCAGTGGAATCAGTGACTTAAGTATTAGTGTATGGTTATGTCTCTGAGGAAAAAAAAACAGCTTTTACAGTCACAAGCTAAATACAGAGAAATTGCCTAATTAGCTTTTTTTTTTTTTTTTAAATGGATAATTGCCTTCATGAGCTTTCGCAGGCAGCTTAGCAACCTTTTAACATACGCGCGCACGCTGCATGGAGCGGCAGAACGTTTCTGAAAGGGGTTTTATACCTTTCCCGAAGAGCTGCTGACAGTAAACCTCAAGCAATACAGGCAGGGGCTGTAATGGGCACTTGGGTGTCGTTAGTAAAAACACTATTCAGAGTTCGCTGGTCAATACGTGTTCACATAAAAGGGCAATGTTCTAATATTCATAATCCCAGGGCCCACAGGGCAGGGTTTTAATGAAAGTCTGTACAGTTCTGGTCTCCACAACATCAAAGAGGCCAATAAAACTCCTCTCACATGCTGACAGGCAAAAGTCAGACGATGAAGGCAGGGCTGGGAAAAGGCCCCGCGCAGCCCCCGGGTTCGCCTCGGCCAGGCAGCTCCCGGCGGAGCGGGACCGTGGTTGTCCCGGGGCAGGCCCGCGTCCACCCACCGCCGCTCCCACAGCGCGCCCCGCCCTGCGGGGTCCCTTGTCCCCCTTCCTCTGCCCAACTCCACCTCCCCCAGCCCCATCCCGCTTCCTCCTCCCAGGGGACGGAGCACCCAGGGCGGGCTCCGCTCCCCGGGGCAGAGCCAGCAGCCCCCCGCTACGGAAGGGACCACGCTGGGCTCGGAGGGCAGCTGGGCATTCCCCGGGCAGACGCTCGTCAGCGCCTTAGGAGCTGCACAGCTCCTCCCTGGGGAGTTTACAAACCACGAGCACTAAAACCGCCTTCCTCCCAGGCAGGATTATTTAATCCAGCGGCAAGCACCACGCAATAAGGGCTAATGCCGACGAGCTCCGGGCGCAGGCGGTGGGTACGGCAGGGCGACCGACGCGTCGCTGCGCTCCGCGATGATTAGACACGGGCGTCCTGCTCTGCCGCCCCGGCTCACGCGGAGAAGTAGTGGGGAAGAGATTTAGCAAACTCCAGCGGACACCATCTTTTATGGGACTTTTTTTATTTTCCCAGTCACAAGAACACGTGTCATTAGCGACTCCTCCTGAAACGAGCAGCTGTTCTTTGGCCATTACTGCTCCAAAATTAACCAAGACGGAAGAATTCAATCGCATCCCTCCTCCCGGCCCTGCTGAGCGAGCACGATTAAGGGATTGAGAGCATCTTTTGCTCAGAGTTCACGGGCATCCTCGCGCCGGAGACGGCACGCACGCCTCGGGTGAACGGTGAGCACAAACGCGTAAAACCCCACCGCTGCCAGGGACGGAGCAACCCAGGAGTGAATGTTATCGGCGGCAGCACCGGTGTCTCGGAGACACTCAAAGCTGCTCGGCAGGAGCACAGCCAACAACCAGGAGGGAGGATAATCTCCAGAAGAGCCAGCCCCTTTCTCGCTTCCGTTCTCAATCTCTGCAAGGATATTTCAAGGCTCCCTCCCCCTCCACCCGAAGAACAAAAAAAAAAAAAGAAAAAAAAGGGAAAAAAAAAAGCACAAGCAGAACCAAACAAAAACAAAATAAAGAAACAGGACACAGCCAGAGACGAGGGCCAGCGCAGGGTCAGGCGACACCTGCTAGCGATGGCCTTGCAAGGCAAGCCTGCAGCTGGGGAAGGGAGGGATCGGCCGTAATTCTATCAACGGCCACAGTAAACAAATAATAAATAATGTGAACCAGTAAACAAAGCTGAGGCATAATCACAGGCTTTGTCAGAGCGAAAACCGACTCCAAATTTATATCCTCACAACTAAAAAAAGTCAGTGCCCATAAATTTACATACCTTTGAGCGCAATGAATGGCTTGTTATTGGAACCGCAGACAATGCGCTGGCAGAAAGGGTGAAAGCTGCCCTGTTTGGCCACTCACACCCCTCGTACAGGTGGCCAGCGTGGAGCCAGCGCTGGGCCGTGCTCACAGAGCTGCATTTGCTACCCCGAACGGGGAGCCCCATGTTCTGTCCTTACCAGGGACCCCAGCCCCGCACCCTACCTTTCCTTTCCCTTCCCAAAAAGAACAACTCCCATGAGGTACCAGCACGGCTTTTCTAGAAGGCAAAACTGCAGCCTTTCTTGGGAAAAGTCCCCAGGAAGCTGTGAAGATGCACGGAGCTGCCTGGAAAAGACCCTGCTTCCACCAAACTGAAAAAAAAATGTGGTGGGTTTTTTGGTTTTTTTTTTTGTTTTTTTTTTTTAAAGAGGTGGAGCTGGGAGCAGAGCTGGGAAGCCCAACTGAAGCAGACACATACCTGGGATTTTGACTGGATCCTGGTCAATTCTGTTCTCCTCTCCATCCAGGTGCTCCAAGCCCACCACGTCCATCTTCACAGGGGCGTCCTCCGTTGCAGACAAGGTGGTGTAGGTACTGATAACCAGTATGCCCAGGCCAATCCACAGTATAATCTGTACAATGTGCCAGAGCTTCAGTTAGCACAGCGAAACGGCCGGGGCTGCTCTGTACAGCTCCCCTCACGTGCCGCCAAACCACTCAAAGCTCGGTGCATGTCGGTGAGAGGGAGAGAAGAGGAGAGAAATTTAAGAGGCGAAAAGGAAAAAAAAAAGAAATGCAGTAGCTTTTGGCTAAGGTTTGTATTTGGATGTAGAGACATACAAGAGTTTGAGACGCTGGAAGCTGTTGAAAAGGTACCAGAAGGGCTCAAAAGCAAGCGGACAGGATGCAAGGACAGAGAAATGCATGTGGGCAATGAGACCCGTTCCCTGGCATTTCCAGCAGCTACATTAGAACACCATGAAATCAGGGCTGGCTGAGAGCAGAGGTGCCCGACCTGTTTACAGCCCAGAAAGGTTCCTAGGGAGCTGTTGAAAAATTCTTATTTTTGAAAACAAGAATAAGACGTCCACACACAAGTCCTTGGCCACCAGCACTCAAGAAGCTGATAAGAACCCTCACTGATTTCCAGAAAGCTGGGATCAAACAGAATAAAAATAGAAAGAGAGAATCCGGATCCCGTAGAAGGAAGGGCTCTATGTATTTCTCCAACTCAAAAAGGAGAAAGCGACCACGACCAAAGAGAACATTTCTACAGCTTATTATCTAATGATAAATTGATCTGAAAGGATCTCATTTCACATGAGCCTTAAGGAAGGACATAAAGCTCCCTGCATTTGACTGCAGAAAAAAAAAAAAAATATCTCTGGGAGCGCTAGGAATTCACAGGGTAACGCGAGAAGGACAAGCAAGACGATGCGCAACAGCAAGAGGCGCAGAGGAACGTCCGCCGAGTTCGGCGTCAGGGCTGCCGAGCGCCCGCCTGCTCCTCCCGAGGAGAGCGGTCCCGGTTCAAAGAGCCGAGCGGCTGGATTGCTGGCCGACAACTCTGACTGGGGAGATTTAATTAAACCGTAATGTATTATTTTTACCTAGTTAACCATTGCAGTTGTCACAGTAAGGGCTTCTCACGGAACCCGGTCTGCACGTCAATGCCTCAACGGCAGCGTGAACGGCTGGCAGGAGAAAGTCTGCAAGAGTTTGTGCTGAAGGCAGCAGGCAGAGAAGTAGCACCCTCCGCTAGGAACTTGTGTCTCCCCACAAATTCCTTTTCACAACACTCCACGGAAGCAACAAGAACCATCACACGCAATCCAGAAAACACCTCTGCCATGCTGGGAAGCTGAAAGTTTGCAGCAAATTGGTATTTACGATGAAGTAATCCCCCCCCCCCCGCTTTTTTTTTTTTTTTTTACTTTCTTAAAACATGCTGCTCTCTGGAACGCCAGGCATCTGGCTTATTTCTGCAGCTCTGCATACGGCAGCAAAGGATCCAGGACAACGCTGCAAACTGCATCTTTTCTTCGCGCTTTGCAGCCGCCCTGCGCGACGCTCGGAGCCGGCAGGCAGCACACCGCTGGTTCGCCCCTGCTTTTTGCCAGTTCCCATCCCCACCCCTGCTGCGTGCCCGCTGACGGCAGGCTGCTGGGGAGGGGACAGCGATTCTTCTACCACAGGTCTAACAAGAACAACTCGCCATGCGTGCTTCACGAGGCAGTTCGTAAAAAAGTCTCAGTCTGCAAAGGAAAAATGCTGCTTTGGTACACGACCTCGTGGCTGTCCAGTGGACCCACACAAGCTGCCTGGCCCCTCTGCAGAGCAGTGCGAGACCCCGAGTGCCGGCGATTCTGGCTTGGGCTGTGATACCAGCTCACCGGAGGGCCATGTCCCGTGGGACTCATCCCCTTCTGCATCCTTACCCTGCAGCATTTAGATCCCAATTCACAAAAAAGCACAACAAAAGGATGCTACTCAGTGTGAGAAGAACCAGGAACAGCTACAGCGGACCACCCCACCACTACAACTGGGAGCTGCCGGAGGGAGAAAACTGAAAATAAAAGGGGAGAAGTGAAATTGAAAGAAGTTAAAACCTTGGCATCTCCAGGGGAGGGCGGAGAGGCCAACATTTTCCTCTCCTTCCTGGTGCTGAGGGAGATTGCTCAGAAATGCGGGCCAGGGCGGTCAGAGCCTTGGGCCCAGGAGACCCCGCTCTCAGCACACCCCTGCAGACAGACAGACGCCTTCAGAAGGAAAAGGCTGGCGGGACGCAAAGCAGCTCTGGACAAGGGACGAGCGGCGTGGCCCGGGAGCAGAGGCCGCTGCAAAGGAAACAGAAGTGAAATCTGCTCCCTGCCTTGCTGCGCGGGTGCACAAAGAGCAGATATCCTGCCATCCTGCTCGGGCCAAAAGCAGAGTCAGCAGGTCCCTGCCACTGCTGCCCTCGGCTTGGAGCTCGTCCACTTCCTCCCCTCACACAATCCGCAGCCCCGGCAGAAACGCACTCTGCGACTGGAAGGGTGTTCTGGCGTCTTTCAGCAACAACAGCGGGCAGGAAGGGGGTTTCTGCACTGGTGCCACAGGAACTAGGAGCAACGTGGGAGAGAAGGGAACTGTAGGAAACGGCTGAAAACATCAAGTGTTTTAAAAGGATTTTTGTTTCTTATCTTAGTGGGGAACCACGGGCTCAAGTGCCTTAGATTCAAACCCCTTTGATTGTTTCACATTTGGAGTTCATCTGTGAGCTTCCCAGAGCAGCGGGTACGGGCACACGTGGCAGTCACAGACAGGCTGGGCTGTCCATGAACCAGCAGACGTCCCTCACCTTCAGCACCCCTGTTGGCACAGCTCCTCCTCCTCCTCACCTACGCCCCGGCCAGCAACTGAAGACCAGAATACAGAGGTCCACAATCTGCCTTAATTCCATAGAGGTACTTAGGACATGGAAAACCAGGCAGTTTGTACTCAAGGGACCACCAAGGCTAATCTGGGAATTGAAGGAAGAGGAGGTGGGGTGCAAGGACCCAGTGGCTTGAGGAACCAAAGGCAGGCAGAGGAAGCCACCTACCCCCAAGGCGCTCAGCCAAAGAGCCGAGAACCTAGAGCAAGGAGAGGGGCAACACTGCAGAGCAGTTATAAACTGGCACCTGGTCCCACAGGAACGATCTCCCTGCCTCTGAAAAGCGAACCCGCTGAGAGCAGAGACCCTTGTCCAGCAGGGCCCCTCACCATGGTCATGGCAAGAGGACGTGCAAACCCCCATGGCCACAGCCCCCTCCAGCAGGCAGGTCAGCAAGGCAAGGGCCTGTCTCCTGAGAGGAGCGGGAATTCAGGAGAGGAAGTTTACGTGGCCGTTTCCTCTGCTGGTCGCTTTCCTTCGGCCGTCCTTCCTCCCAGAAGATAACTCGAACTTTGTACAGAAGTGTCGTTAGCTCAGACCATCTCCTCTAACCACGCCTGAGCCATCAGCGGGAAGCAAAAAAAACTGCATTTGTGTGGAGTGACGACATCCTCAAACTGTGCTGTTTTGGACACCGAGCGTTTGGAGGGACAGAGTCACGGCGAAGGAATGCAGAGCCCCCGGTCACTGCCCGGTTCCTCCACTGCGCTGCGACAGAGATGCTGGGTTTGAAGGGCTGCACCGACCGAAAACGGCTGCGGGGAAGGTGTGCTGGCTGCTGTGCTACCAGGGGAGGGCAGAGGGGAATCTCTTTTCCATCCGCACAGGAGCAAGACCAAGGGGTTATTTCCTGACCTCGAGCAGCCTCTCCGCAGCTCCTCTTCCCAACTGGGACAACAGCAACTCCGGCCTCCCTAGGAGGGGCCTCTCGGACAGGCTTGTGTCAACACTGGGAAGCCAACACCTTCCTGTTAGAAGTTAAACACTCTGTTTACAGACCTTAACACGACCTTCAGCAGCGCTTTGCCAAACCTCACTCTGTCCCCGCCCCGCTCAAGACTCCGGGCGAGCAGCAGGACACAGACCCGCACCTTTACAGGAACACGCTTGATGCTTAACCACAAGAAAGGGAACGCTCTCCCCAGGTCATTCACAGATCTGCACGCCTGACCTCGAGCTTTTTAACGTATCATCTTCTCAGCACAGCAAGCCTTTCAACCAAGCCACCCCCCAGCCTAGCCCAAGCTCGGTCCCCAGCCCCGGTCGGGCCGACCAGCGGCTGCGATCATCAACAACTTGCTGGCAGAAGCCGCCCACTCTTTTTGCTGGCCAGCAAACCTCTAAGACTGCCCATATTCGTCACCCTGGAACCCTCTCTGCCACTTTTAACGCAGCTCCCCTGACTTGTAGCCTCAGCTTGCACCCTCTTCCCAGCTCGGAAAATCCAATCGTCCTATCTCGCCAGCCCCATAAGCTGCCCGATGCGGGACTTCGCTGGATGCCAGAGGTGGCCCAATACAAGCAGCCAGACCTCTGCAGCAGCAGCACAAGAGTCGAGATAATTCAGGCAAGGATTGAGAAGGCCTGCTGCTTTGGAAGAAAGCTAAAGATGACGGAGGGAGGGAGAACATACGTGTGTGCTGTTTAGACAGGGAAAAGCGGGGAGGGACAGCTATGCCCAGGGCTGGCTCCTTCTCCCCCTTGACTGCCACTTTTCACAGGAGCATATTTCGATGAAGTGGAGTGCCTGATCAAG